TAGGTATTATGTCAATTAATGCGAAGATTCCGAGGACGTCATTATCGTTCTTGCGTACTTTAAAAGAAAGTTTAAACAAGTTATTTGAATATCAACAATGAACATATAAAAATAACTTGTATATACTTATATGTGTGTTAACTGTGCACTTAATAATAAATTATAAATTATTATTTTTAGTTCATTTACCATTGAATGAAAAAATAGAACTCGTTACATAAACGTTTTTTGTAATTATTGTTTCATATACTGGTATAATAAAAATGAAATAAATGAACTTATAGTTTTTTAAATATTCTTCAACTAACTTGTGCGTTCCTTAAATGTCATGATATTAAGATAATCATTTGAATTAGACGTTATCGGTATGACATTAACGTGAAATAAATAGGACAATTTCTTTTAATGAGATTGCCATAAATAAAAAGAGAAATAAGAATAAATAGGAGTAATTAAAAAAAATCCGATGTTCAAATTTGCATCAACGTTCAATTAAGCTGATAAACGGAAATGTTGAATTTTTATAAAAAAATCTAAATAAAATAATTAGCTTTAATATTTTATCTTATATTTAATATGTTAAGATCATAATATTATGATATATATTTAGTTCACATAATTCAATGTCAACGATTCCTTTGCTTGCTCTAAACTCATCTTCTATCCCACTTAAATTTCGACATAGAACCTAAAATTAGTAGGAAACTTATGCAAACGGACGCGTTCACACTTGATGCTGGTCTCTTTAAGAGTCTGGAACCTCGTCGAAGCACTTTCTAGAAGGTTCTTCATTTACTTAACGTAATCACTGTCCCACTGTGAGAGTCAGTTTGTATTGTCCATTGTAGTACTTTCACCATGCGTTATTATTATTATGGGCTCCCTGTAAATAAAGAATTAAGATTTATAATGAATATTATGTATTTATCGTATCCGTCTACATAGTGTCTGAAATAAAAACATTTTGGCGCTAACAGCGGCCATCGTATTGATTACTTTTTCCTTCTTTTGTTTATGTTTTACAATTTACCTAGAATAAAGAGCTTCTTCATATCTACTTAGAGTGTATTTATATAAATTTATTCTACTCTTAAGTGTAGAACCTATACTTTCGCAGTGGTAATGTTACATAACCAAAATATTTGGCATGAAGGGTTACCAGTATTAAATGAAACTAGTTATAATTATTATAGTATTTTTGACGTTTTGAGTACCATGTAGCATTCAGGATTCATTCAGTAAGCACTCATAGTAAATCTTTACCTTGTAAAGCGTGCGGCGCGCGGCCGGCGTGTCGTCCTCCTCGTCCGACGTGTGTGCTGTGTGCTGTGTGCGTGTGTGCTGCGTGCTGTGCACTCACCTAGTCGGAGTCGTCGTTGACGCTGGAGCGCAGCTTGGAGAGCGTGCGGCGCGCGGCCGGCGTGTCGTCCTCCTCGTCCGACGTGTGTGCTGTGTGCTGTGTGCGTGTGTGCTGCGTGCTGTGCACTCACCTAGTCGGAGTCGTCGTTGACGCTGGAGCGCAGCTTGGAGAGCGTGCGGCGCGCGGCCGGCGTGTCGTCCTCCTCGTCCGACGTGTGTGCTGTGTGCTGTGTGCGTGTGTGCTGCGTGCTGTGCACTCACCTAGTCGGAGTCGTCGTTGACGCTGGAGCGCAGCTTGGAGAGCGTGCGGCGCGCGGCCGGCGTGTGGTCCTCCTCGTCCGACGTGTGTGCTGTGTGCTGTGTGCGTGTGTGCTGCGTGCTGTGCACTCACCTAGTCGGAGTCGTCGTTGACGCTGGAGCGCAGCTTGGAGAGCGTGCGGCGCGCGGCCGGCGTGTCGTCCTCCTCGTCCGACGTGTGTGCTGTGTGCTGTGTGCGTGTGTGCTGCGTGCTGTGCACTCACCTAGTCGGAGTCGTCGTTGACGCTGGAGCGCAGCTTGGAGAGCGTGCGGCGCGCGGCCGGCGTGTCGTCCTCCTCGTCCGACGTGTGTGCTGTGTGCTGTGTGCGTGTGTGCTGCGTGCTGTGCACTCACCTAGTCGGAGTCGTCGTTGACGCAGGAGCGCAGCTTGGAGAGCGTGCGGCGCGCGGCCGGCGTGTCGTCCTCCTCGTCCGACGTGTGTGCTGTGTGCTGTGTGCGTGTGTGCTGCGTGCTGTGCACTCACCTAGTCGGAGTCGTCGTTGACGCTGGAGCGCAGCTTGGAGAGCGTGCGGCGCGCGGCCGGCGTGTGGTCCTCCTCGTCCGACGTGTGTGCTGTGTGCTGTGTGCGTGTGTGCTGCGTGCTGTGCACTCACCTAGTCGGAGTCGTCGTTGACGCTGGAGCGCAGCTTGGAGAGCGTGCGGCGCGCGGCCGGCGTGTCGTCCTCCTCGTCCGACGTGTGTGCTGTGTGCTGTGTGCGTGTGTGCTGCGTGCTGTGCACTCACCTAGTCGGAGTCGTCGTTGACGCTGGAGCGCAGCTTGGAGAGCGTGCGGCGCGCGGCCGGCGTGTCGTCCTCCTCGTCCGACGTGTGTGCTGTGTGCTGTGTGCGTGTGTGCTGCGTGCTGTGCACTCACCTAGTCGGAGTCGTCGTTGACGCTGGAGCGCAGCTTGGAGAGCGTGCGGCGCGCGGCCGGCGTGTCGTCCTCCTCGTCCGACGTGTGTGCTGTGTGCTGTGTGCGTGTGTGCTGCGTGCTGTGCACTCACCTAGTCGGAGTCGTCGTTGACGCTGGAGCGCAGCTTGGAGAGCGTGCGGCGCGCGGCCGGCGTGTGGTCCTCCTCGTCCGACGTGTGTGCTGTGTGCTGTGTGCGTGTGTGCTGCGTGCTGTGCACTCACCTAGTCGGAGTCGTCGTTGACGCTGGAGCGCAGCTTGGAGAGCGTGCGGCGCGCGGCCGGCGTGTCGTCCTCCTCGTCCGACGTGTGTGCTGTGTGCTGTGTGCGTGTGTGCTGCGTGCTGTGCACTCACCTAGTCGGAGTCGTCGTTGACGCTGGAGCGCAGCTTGGAGAGCGTGCGGCGCGCGGCCGGCGTGTCGTCCTCCTCGTCCGACGTGTGTGCTGTGTGCTGTGTGCGTGTGTGCTGCGTGCTGTGCACTCACCTAGTCGGAGTCGTCGTTGACGCTGGAGCGCAGCTTGGAGAGCGTGCGGCGCGCGGCCGGCGTGTCGTCCTCCTCGTCCGACGTGTGTGCTGTGTGCTGTGTGCGTGTGTGCTGCGTGCTGTGCACTCACCTAGTCGGAGTCGTCGTTGACGCTGGAGCGCAGCTTGGAGAGCGTGCGGCGCGCGGCCGGCGTGTCGTCCTCCTCGTCCGACGTGTGTGCTGTGTGCTGTGTGCGTGTGTGCTGCGTGCTGTGCACTCACCTAGTCGGAGTCGTCGTTGACGCTGGAGCGCAGCTTGGAGAGCGTGCGGCGCGCGGCCGGCGTGTCGTCCTCCTCGTCCGACGTGTGTGCTGTGTGCTGTGTGCGTGTGTGCTGCGTGCTGTGCACTCACCTAGTCGGAGTCGTCGTTGACGCTGGAGCGCAGCTTGGAGAGCGTGCGGCGCGCGGCCGGCGTGTCGTCCTCCTCGTCCGACGTGTGTGCTGTGTGCTGTGTGCGTGTGTGCTGCGTGCTGTGCACTCACCTAGTCGGAGTCGTCGTTGACGCTGGAGCGCAGCTTGGAGAGCGTGCGGCGCGCGGCCGGCGTGTCGTCCTCCTCGTCCGACGTGTGTGCTGTGTGCTGTGTGCGTGTGTGCTGCGTGCTGTGCACTCACCTAGTCGGAGTCGTCGTTGACGCTGGAGCGCAGCTTGGAGAGCGTGCGGCGCGCGGCCGGCGTGTCGTCCTCCTCGTCCGACGTGTGTGCTGTGTGCTGTGTGCGTGTGTGCTGCGTGCTGTGCACTCACCTAGTCGGAGTCGTCGTTGACGCTGGAGCGCAACTTGGAGAGCGTGCGGCGCGCGGCCGGCGTGTCGTCCTCCTCGTCCGACGTGTGTGCTGTGTGCTGTGTGCGTGTGTGCTGCGTGCTGTGCACTCACCTAGTCGGAGTCGTCGTTGACGCTGGAGCGCAGCTTGGAGAGCGTGCGGCGCGCGGCCGGCGTGTCGTCCTCCTCGTCCGACGTGTGTGCTGTGTGCTGTGTGCGTGTGTGCTGCGTGCTGTGCACTCACCTAGTCGGAGTCGTCGTTGACGCTGGAGCGCAGCTTGGAGAGCGTGCGGCGCGCGGCCGGCGTGTCGTCCTCCTCGTCCGACGTGTGTGCTGTGTGCTGTGTGCGTGTGTGCTGCGTGCTGTGCACTCACCTAGTCGGAGTCGTCGTTGACGCTGGAGCGCAGCTTGGAGAGCGTGCGGCGCGCGGCCGGCGTGTCGTCCTCCTCGTCCGACGTGTGTGCTGTGTGCTGTGTGCGTGTGTGCTGCGTGCTGTGCACTCACCTAGTCGGAGTCGTCGTTGACGCTGGAGCGCAGCTTGGAGAGCGTGCGGCGCGCGGCCGGCGTGTCGTCCTCCTCGTCCGACGTGTGTGCTGTGTGCTGTGTGCGTGTGTGCTGCGTGCTGTGCACTCACCTAGTCGGAGTCGTCGTTGACGCTGGAGCGCAGCTTGGAGAGCGTGCGGCGCGCGGCCGGCGTGTCGTCCTCCTCGTCCGACGTGTGTGCTGTGTGCTGTGTGCGTGTGTGCTGCGTGCTGTGCACTCACCTAGTCGGAGTCGTCGTTGACGCTGGAGCGCAGCTTGGAGAGCGTGCGGCGCGCGGCCGGCGTGTCGTCCTCCTCGTCCGACGTGTGTGCTGTGTGCTGTGTGCGTGTGTGCTGCGTGCTGTGCACTCACCTAGTCGGAGTCGTCGTTGACGCTGGAGCGCAGCTTGGAGAGCGTGCGGCGCGCGGCCGGCGTGTCGTCCTCCTCGTCCGACGTGTGTGCTGTGTGCTGTGTGCGTGTGTGCTGCGTGCTGTGCACTCACCTAGTCGGAGTCGTCGTTGACGCTGGAGCGCAGCTTGGAGAGCGTGCGGCGCGCGGCCGGCGTGTCGTCCTCCTCGTCCGACGTGTGTGCTGTGTGCTGTGTGCGTGTGTGCTGCGTGCTGTGCACTCACCTAGTCGGAGTCGTCGTTGACGCTGGAGCGCAGCTTGGAGAGCGTGCGGCGCGCGGCCGGCGTGTCGTCCTCCTCGTCCGACGAGATCACGATGCGCTGGCGCGGCTTCACGCCCGTCGCACCTCGCGTCATACGCCGCGACACGCTCGATGTGTCTGCCGAACGTACGCAACTTTGAATGGATCTTGTATACACATACATACAGGCTGACACTACTCATTTTTAAATAAAACTAATTTTACGGATTTTGACGGAGACCACATTCACAATCCAGCTTGTACAAAAGGATGCAGGAGTGTACAAGCTGGATTGTGAATGTGGTCGTCTCTCGTACATAGGACAAACAAAAAGATCTATTAAAACCCGCGTTAAAGAACATATAGCTGACGTGAAGCACCGACGTATCGGGAAGTCTGCAGTTTGTGAACATGTTCAAGATCGTCCCCGCCATTACATTAGATTTGATAGACCACAAATCCTCGCAAAAGAACACCGATTCCTCCCAAGGATGATTCGTGAGGCTATTGAAATTAAAAAACATCCTAATTTCAATAGAGAAGATGGATGGGTGCTGCCATCTGCTTGGGATCCCATAATTAATAAAATAAAATCCAAACCCAAGTATACCACTGCTAGACTTCAAGATACTATAAGCTCATTCTGCATAAATCGGACCAAAAATTAATATTAAAAAACTGAAGGTAGCCGGGCTAACTATGAAAGCAGGACGTCAAACACCTCAGTCCCCCGTGACTACGGGTGCTGGAAAGCACCCGAAACGTCGGGAATATAAAAAAATAGATTAATATACGCGATAAAATCCGTAAAACTAGTTTTATTTAAAAATATACAGGCTGAATTAAAATCATTGGCATCCTATGCTATGTACGTGATAGAGCCATGCTGCAGCTATATTGATTGTAGCATACGACAGACGTATCTGTCGATCATACGCACCGCTTAACTTTCAGTGCCCCGGGGCCCCCAAGTTAAAGGGGCCCCTCAGCCTCCAAGACCGACGTTCAAAAAATTATGTACTATCCTAGATGTATAAAGAATTTTCGACTTTTAACTTTTTGGCCCCTGACCGCGAACGGCTCGAAAAAGGAGTAAGCTCGTTTCTTGAAGCTCCCTAAGTCGTATCGATCCGACAGTAGTAGACCGCCAAACATCACGATGGTGTGGATTTGTTAAATGCGTTGAAAAAAATTTTGTAGCATAAAATACTCTCCCACTCTGCTGAGCACGCTAAGCTTTTTAAGGCCAATTCATCCTACCCTTCCAAGTGACGACGAAACTACACGTTATTCGATAATATGTCAACGACGAAGATTCCGATACTGGCTGAGGTAACAAGGGGAGTGCCCTGAAATTGAGAAGTTACGACAAAGGGGTTCTTTTAATGATAATCAGGCAAACTTGTGTTTTCTGGGCATTGAACTTAATTAGATTTAGTCGCCCCAATTCGAAACCTTATCCGGAAAAACTCGACTGCAGACACAAGTTTGTTCCAGTACTCGGCGACGTTTTCACGACAAATATATTCACAGCCGATCACCAGTGCACGTTACTGGTTTGCATCATATTATTGATAAGCAGAAAAAACAGCGTAGATGATAGCACATAGCTTTGTGGAACAATAGCGAAAATAAGCCTGTAAAATGGAGCGTGCACCTTCTACTACGACTTTGTTGTTCCAATCTGCAAGAAAACTGCTGATCCAGTTGCACAAATTCTCGGGAAGCCCATTTGAAGGGACCTTCGAAAAAAGCGGTTTGTGCCAAACCCGATCGAAAGCCTTCGCTATGTTCAAACTAACGGCCAGGGTCTCCCTCTCTGTCTCCGCCGATTTATGAGTTAGTTAAGCCAGAAAATCACCAGCTGAGCAACCCCGACGGAAATCGTACTGGCGGTCACTTTTCAGTTGATGATCCTCAACCTCATGAACAGGCAGTTCACAATGGTTTTCATTATTTTGGAGAACAAGTTGGATAGGTCTGAGCGGTCGATTTTCGATTATTTTTTAGGCATCTGGTACACTAAAGCTATCTTCTTTTAGTTTGGGACTACGCCTAGGGAGAAGTTTTAGAAAATACTTTACGACCGGTGACAACTAGGGAGCACACGTTTTCAGCACAATGAGAAGAACTCCATCAGGCCCATTCTACTTGAAGTCTAGGGAGAGTAGTGCTATGCACCGAGCGCTGCGTAAGCCGTATGGTTTTTTTTTTATAGGAGAGGGGGCAAACGAGCATGCGGCTCACCTGATGGTAAGTGACTACCACCGTCCATGAAGAACTGCTACACCAGGGAGGGAATTGCAGATGCGTTGCCGGCCTTTTAAAAAGGAGTACGCTCTTTTCTTGAAGGTCCCTAAGTCGTATCGGTCCGGAAAAATCGCTGATGGTAATCGATTCCACAAGGAAGTCGTGCGAGGAAGAAAACATCTTCTAAATCGCACAGTGGTGGACCGCCAATCATCCAGATGGTGTGGATGGTATCGGGAGTTCTGCCGCGATGTGCGTTCGTGAAATTTGGCGGTTGGGATTAATCCGAACAATTCCTCAGAGCACTCCCCATGGTAGATGCGAAAGAAAATGCAAAGGGCATCCCTTTGCAGTGCCAATGAATCGAGCCGATCGGAAAGGGCTCGGTCGTCGACGATTCGAGCCGCTCTGCTCTGGATGCGGTCAAGTGGAAGGAGCTGGCACAGGGGAGCCCCTGCCCAGAGATGGGAACAGTATTCCATGTGAGGCCGAACCTGCGCCTTGTAAAGTTGCAGGCGGTGTGCCGGCATGAAATACTGTCCCGCTCTGCTGAGCACGCCAAGCTTTTTAGAGGCCAATTTGGCCTTCTCTTCCAAGTGACCACGAAACTGCACGTCACTCGATATGTCGACTCCGAGGATACCGATACTGGCTGAGGCAAGAAGGGGAGTGCCTTGAAACTGAAGAGATATGACAAAGGGGTTCTTTTTAGCGGTAAACGCGCAAACTTGTGTCTTCTGAGGATTAAACTGGACTAGATTTAGTCGCCCCCAATCCGAGACTTTGTTCAGCAAAGACTCGACTTCAGACACAAGTTTGTTCGTCGTCAATATTGGCACGGCCGTTGTATAGAGCATCACCAGTGCTGTCATCCGCATAGCAATGAATGTTACCAGTTAGCAACATATCATTGATATGCAAGGAAGCTGGTCATCCAATTGCACAATTTCTCGGGAAGCCCATAGGAAGGGAGCTTCGAAAGAAGCGCTTTGTGCAAAACCCGATCGAAGGCCTTCGCAATGTCCTGACTAACGGCCAACGCCTCCCCCTTGGACTCTACTGCCTCTGCCCATCTATGGGTCAGGTAGACCAGAAGATCACCAGCTGATCGACCCCGACGAAAACCGTATTGGCGGTCACTAACCAGCTGGTAATCCTCAAGGTACCGGATGAGCTGGCAGTTAATAATGGATTCCATTATTTTGGAGAACAAGGAGGTGATCGCGATAGGCCTATAGTTGGACGGGTCTGAGCGGTCGCATTTTTTAGGGATCGGGTGGACAAAAGCTGTCTTCTGTGAATTCGGGACTACGCTTTGGGAGTAGGAGTACCGGAAAAGACGCGTTAGGACCGGTGCCAACTCCGGAGCACACGTCCTCAGCACAATTGGGGGGATTCCGTCAGGCCCACTCGACATCTGGATGTCCAGGGAGAGAAGTGCTTTGCGAACTGAGCGCTGTGAGAACAGCACATCCGGCATGGAGCACTCACACCGCGGGATGGTCGGCGGTGTTTTCCCTCCGTCATCATGAGTCGAGTTGGACGCAAAAACGGAGCCAAAATGGTCAGCTTTGTCTTTTGCGTCTTGGGCCAGTGAGTCGTCCTCCCTGTGCAGAGATGGTAGTGATGGCTTACAGAAATTCCCTTGGACAGCCTTGGCGAGAGACCAGAATGCACGAGTTCCCGAAGGAAGGCGAACTAGTTTCTCGCCAATTCTGCCTATGTGCTCTGACTTTGCTTTGGCAATAACTCTTTCGAAGGACCTGGAGGCGAAGTTATACTTCTTTTTAAGTGTGCTGGTGTTTACATCCCGAGTCGCCGAAGCCGCAGCCCAGGCTTGATAACACTCCTGCTTACTGCGTAATGCAGTCTTAAAGGGGCGACCAAACCAAGGCTGATACCGACCTAAAGGCGAAATTATACTTCTTTTTAACAGCGCTGGTGAAACACTCTTGTGTGACTTGTGTCGGACCATATGCCAAGGCAATGTCATAAACAGATCTTCCCGCATGATCGGTTAAACGAGAACCAAGCCATTCAGCGTGGTGGCCGTTAAAATTACCAAGGATCACGATCTCTGCAGATGGGATCTGTTGTAGCACGGAGTCTGCAGCTATTTGGACGTGGTTGATGAGTTGGTCTGTGTCCGGCATTACCTATAGAGGCAGCCGTAGACGCGAGGGATACTCGTTGCTGACCTTTAAGACTGCCGAGTTGTCCTCTCTGAGGTATATGCAAACTCCAGCCCGAGGTACAAAGGTATTATAATTTGTACCCCGGAAAAGAGAGAAGCATCGACCGGAGAGGACCACCTGGGTCTCGGTTAGAAAGAGCAAGGTCGGCTTCGCCGTCTTCAGATGGTGCCTAGTGGACTTCGTTAGCGTTTGAATGAAATCCCCTGATGTTGCAGAAATTCACGGATAGCTTGGCAGGGTTCATCTTTGTCTTATTGCTCTACTTGCCATGAGCATTATTAGTCTTGAGCGAAATTTCGCCCCTCCTCCCAACCCCTCCCCAGGATACACGAAGCAGCCTGAGCACCCGCGCTAGCTTGGGCGTGGGTGCTCAGCCAGGGATTCTCCAATACCAGGGGTGCTGGTACCCTCCTGGGATGGTTTCTTATTTATTTACACTACCATGTTAAGAGTAGAGAGGGGTTAGGCCTCCGACCACTTGCACTTAACAGGCGAAGCAAACTTCTACTTCACGCTGGTTATCTGTAAGGTCGTGGGTCTCCTCGGTATGAGCCGGTCCATCCATTCATTACATTCATTTATTACAGCTCTTTATTTCATGTCTTACCGGATCGTCACTCCATCTAGTCTGACTCACCAGTGCGATAGCAAAGCTGCCGTGTGGCTCTTCCACTGTTATGTTGGCTGCTTATA